TCAATCACTCATGCTTTTTCAGGTTCAGGGAAATTTTTCACGTAATACGCACCATAAGGCTCACCTTTTGCCCCATGTCATACAAAATTTTCAGATTCCAAGTCTTGCTGTCTTATTTTTCTGGGTTAGGTAGTGCACACTCCCACTTTGGAGGATCGTTTACTAAGGTCCCAACCAAATAAGGAGTAAATTATCATGCAAACATACAACAAAGGCAAAACCCTACTGGGGTTCTATGCAAATCCCTAAGGTGTAAGGGATAATTTTCAAAGATATTTCATGAATTAAGCTAATTAAAACTTCATAAAGCACATTTCCAAAATAATCTAACCAATCTCATTCTTCTCTTAGTCTCATGCAATGCTCCTATTACATGTCACATGGTAAGCCAAAATTTTGACTTTCAAAGCACAAATGTGCATCCTTTCCACACTTTAGAATGACATCGTCTAGATGTCTACACTAATCTCAAAGTGGATTGGCATGAAGCTCAAAAGCTTTTAGGGGAAAGGCGTCCCTTTCTACACTTTAGGAATAAATTGTGGGACTTAGGGAAAAGAAACAACACCATGACTGAATTTAAGGTTAAGCACAGATACACCTTTCCACACTTTAGAATAAAAAAACAAGTTCAACGTTTATAAGGTAGAGAGTAAACTCCCCTTTCTCTAAAAAAAAAAAAAACAGTCCGCAAATGTTTTGTTGAAGACTTCATCACTAGAACCTGTTTTATGAATCGTAAAAGAATAAGTGGTGAAAGGGTGTAACATTCTCTATCAATACACAGCTAATCAAACAAGTGCATTTAACAGCATGATTATTATCTTAGGAAGATGAAACTAAGCCCTTTCCACACTTTACAAGTGTGAATAGGGTGTGGTTTCCTCACTTTAGACCTTAACAAGACTAGTAAAAACGGATAAGAAAAGGATGGGCGAAATAATCTCCCTTCGAAGCAGAATGTCCTCTTTTACACTTTTCGACTAAAGAGATTCTCGCAGCGCTTCAACATGAGTTGATACGAGTCAGCTTCATGACAATTCTCAGTGGAACGGTAGTTCGTGAATCAACATGACAGACTTAAAAGGACATAAAAGAAACAAGACAAAAATAGCATAATAGAAATGGAAAAAGAAATTTAAAAACCTTGGGTTGCCCCCCAAGCAGCGCTACATTTAACGTCTTTAGCCCGACGAGATTAATGAAGCTCTTCAGAAGTCTTCAAGTGCCATGGCACATACTACCTGTCCAGGTTGATCCAAACCATGATACTTCTTCACCTATTGCCCATTGACCTTGAATATCCCTTTCTCAGGATGACAAATGTCTAGACTGCCATAAGGGTAAACTTTTTTCACCTTGAAGGGTCCAGACCATCGCGATTTTAGCTTCCCTGGAAAAAGTTTGAGCCTGGAATTAAATAGCAGCACTTGATCTCCTACCTGAAATTCCTTCCCTTTTCGATATGCAAATCATGGTACTGTTTGGTCTTTTCTTTGTAGGACTTATTAGTTTCATACGCGAGCATTCACCATTCATTTAGCTCGTTTAGCTGCCATAACCTTTGGTTGCCCGCTAGATGTAAGTCCTCATTCAACTTCTTCAAGGCACAGTATACCTTATGCTTGACTTCCACTGGCAGGTGACAAGATTTCCCGTAACAAGTCTATAGGGCGTAGTTCCAATGGGAGTTTTATAAGCTGTCCTAAATGCCCACAATGCATCATTCAACTTATCGGCCCAGTCTCATCTACTTTTCGACACTGTTTTCTCGAGAATGGCTTTGATATCTCTGTTTGCATTCTCGACCTAGCCGCTTGTTTGCGGATGGTATGACACTCCGCTTCGGTGCTGCACTCCATGTTTCCCAAGAATTTTGGTCATTGGAATGTTTCGGAAATGCTTCCCTCGGTCACTTATGATTACTCTGGGGATTCCAAATCTAGATAACAACTTTTTAATAAATTTTACCACGCTCTGGGCATCATTCGTTTTACGCGCTTCGACTTCCACCCATTTTGAAACATAATCAATGGCTCCCAAGATGTATTTGAATCCTTTCGATTCTGGGAATGGCCCAACAAAGTCCAATCCCCAGATATCAAAGATTTCGCAGGCAAGAATATATGTTTGAGGCATTTCAGCTCTTTTCGTGACATTCCCCACCCTTTGACATTCATCGCAGTTTTGTACATAGAGTTGGGCATCTCGAAAAATCCGTGACCAATAAAAGTCAGCTTCTAAAACTTTTCTTGCCGTGCGGTTCGCCGAATGATGTCCTCCGTAGCCTCCTCTGTGGCAATCTCCCAAAATTATATATCCTTCTTCTTCCGGAACACATCTTCAAATTATCTGGTCTACACATACTCGGAACAGATAGGGTTCATCCCAGAAGTAATATTTGGCTTCCGCCTTAATTTTGCGCTTATCATGTTCAGTAAGCTAGATACCATTGCAGAGTTCCTCCAGCCAACAAATTTGCTATTTCTGCATACCATGGTACGGTTGATACTCCCAATAATTTCTCTTTGGGAAATTAAAGCACTCTTCTATTTCTCTTTCAGACTCAACAGCTTCATTATCTTTTAATCTTGACAAGTGGTCAGCGGCCCTATTCGCTGCTCCTTTCATATCTACTATAGTAATATCAAATTCTCGGAGTAATAGAACCCATCTTATCAATCTTGGTTTTGCTTCTTGCTTCGTCATTAGATATCGAATAGTTGCATGGTCTGTGCGAATTGTGATCTTTGACAGTAATAGATAAGAACGAAATTTTTCTAGAGCAAATATAATGGCCATCAGTTCCTTATCGGTTGTTGTATACGCTAGTTGGGCTATGTTTAGAGTACAGCTCGCAAAAGCAATTGGTTGAAAGGCTTTTTCTATTCTCTGTCCTAAAACTGCACCAACAGCGAAATTGCTTGCATCACACATCAGTTCGAAGGGTTGGCTCCAATTTGGTCCTACCAGAATGGGTGCGCTTATCAATCTTTCCTTCAGGTTTGTAAAATCCAATGGAGTAAATCAATTTGCAACAATCCATCAAATCTAGGCTCAAAATATAAATAAAGAGTAAAGAATTGTTACCACAAAGATCTACTCAATCGAATCCAATTTGCAATCTTGATGTAGAAAATTTCCACAAATCTTCAAAGGATTTAAAACCCTAATTAATAATCTAGAAGTGTTTTCTCTCCCTAAACTGAATTTGGAATTTTAGAAAATGAATTGTCTTCCCCTTCCAATCTGTGCGCTGCTGCTATATACTTCGAATTCCCATTCACGCTCGACATCACGCTGTGACACCGGCATGAATGGGAAATAGACTCTTCCCGCGTCTGCTCTTGTTCCGGCCCTTTATATCTGAATTACACTGGCTCTCACGCCATAAATCCTTGCGTGATTGGGCAATAATTGTTCCTTTCTTCGCTTCACTTCTCATGCAGCCTTCACGCTGTGATTGCTTGCGTGAATCGAGAAATAATTCCTATTTGTCTTTTCTTTCACGTGCATGATTGCTTCTTTGATGTGCTCTTTTCCTCGCCTTGCTCTTTCTGATCCGTTCTTGCTGCTAAAAATGCCTAGAAATCATAGAAAGTTTAATTAGTGTGATGTTCTTGTGTCAAGCTATGCTCTCGAGGTAAATTTGTCTTAAAACATATTGTTTAGGAATTAAAAATTGTGTCAAACACTCCTAATAAGATCCTAAAAACTAGCATATTTTGAGGCTTATCATTAAACCAAGGTGTAAGTTTGTTAAAGAAAGCAAACATGGAGTGTGGAGAGTAGTGGTAGACGTGGAGTGTGTGGCAACATTTCATTCATGGAATAATAGCAGTACATGGAGTATAACATGAGCATAATTTTAGGATTTTATTTATTTTCTTTTGTTATAAATATGTTCAATTTCAAAGGATTTTAAATTAATGATGCCAAAGGCAGTAAATATTCTTATTTCCTATTCCCCTCTTTCTCTCTCAAATATATATATATATATATATATATATATATATATATATAGGGGCGCACTCAGGTGCGAATAAGTGCCCAGGAAGGAAATGCGAACGAATCAGCGCGCGACACGTGTCCAGATCTAATAACTTAAAAAAAACGCGGTGGCATTTTCGTAAATAATTGAACATCGAAGTGCAAGTAAAATCTCTTATAAGTGCACCTATTTTCACCTATTAGTGCATGTAATTTTGCCTTGTTCGCATTCACTTTCCGCAACCATTCATTCACTTGGGTGTGCTTATAACTATGTGTGCAACTATTTATAACTATAGGTGCAACTACTTATAACTATAGGTGCACCTACTTTCACCTATAAGTGCATGTAATTTTGCCTTGTTAACATTCATTGATCTGAGTTCGCGGGTAGTAATACTCCTGAAAACCACTAGCAAACATTCATACACCTAGATGCAACTACTTATACCTATGTGTGCAACTACTTAGAACTATAGGTGCAACTACTTAGAACTATAAGTGCAACTAAGTATTGATGCTCAGTGTAAATTTTTACTTGCACCTATAATACATTTTACATGCACTTGTAATACATTTTACTTGCACTTCGATGTTCAATTATTTACGAAAATGCCACCGCGTTTTTTTAAAAATCAGTGTTTCTCATCCATTAGATCTGGACACGTGGACGAACAGAATTCATTCCTATTTCGCGCCTGGGCGAGCCGTTCGCACCTGAGTGCGATTCTATATATATATATATATATATATATATATATATATATATATATATATATATGTATGTATATATGTATGTATGTATGTATGTATGTATGTATGTGTTGAGTGATAGGACAAAAGTATATATAGAAGACTTCTCTCATAGTTGATTTTAATTTGTACATATTAAAATGGGGAAAAGTTGACAAACAGCATAAAGTATATAGGTAGCACAGTGGAATATATAGTGAAATCTCCATTTTATCCTTCCATCAATTTCTATATATATCTGCGTACCTTGTTCGGCTGATTCACACCATCCATCATATTCCCCAAACTCCTCTCTTCTATCCACTCCCACAACTGCTCCCTTAATTCAAAAGGTACGTACATATATCTCCTCATTTTTATTTTTTTGTTTTGTTTTTCCTTTTCTCATACATATACTATGGTAAAAGAAATTAAATTTTAAATCAAAATTTTCTCAAATTAAAACTCTTTAACTCTATTAGTAACTAGATATTCTTTCTAAGTTTTTTTTAAATGTACCTATTTGATCTCCCCAACTCCATGAAAAGTAAAGTTTAAAAACTCAACTTCTTCTGCTCGAGCCATAGTTGCTGATCTTGAGAAGAATATATTATATATAAACATATAATAAAATTCTTTTTCATTTGTTTTTTCAATTGAAAGTAATTAACTGTCCCACTGCATGCGTGTTTAATCATGTTCTTGTTATTGTCGTCAAATATTGGACGAAAAGCAGGAATTGAAGCATCTTGCCGAAGGGACAACGTCGTTTTCGTGGAATATAGTAATCAACAACATTAATTAACTCGAAACAACAAAAAACAAAAAAAAAAAAACAAAAAAATGTGGAGGCTTAGAATTGCAGAAGAGGGTGGAAATGATGAGGCGTACTTGTATAGCACCAACAAGTACGTGGGGCGGCAAACATGGGAGTTCGACCCTAACGCCGGAACGGCGGAAGAACGGGCTGAGATCGAAGCGGCCCGCCGTGAGTTCTGGAACAACCGCTACATGGTTAAGCCAAGCGGTGATCTTCTTTGGCGAAATCAGGTATAGTAAGTAACACATCATTTTCAGAATTTCAGGAGTGTTCGTTTGTTTGTAGGTATTTAATAGTCAAATCAAATGATCAGTAAAATAAGGATAAAATATCCAAGAAGAATGAAGATTGGGTGGAGTGGAAGACTTGGAAAGTACATGGAAGACTTCGATCTATTATATATTATTATATTGCTACTGTCAATACTCCAATATATATATATATATATATATATATATATATATATATATATATATATATTTGTGAAAAATGATATCCTATTGAAAAATGATAAGAATCACATGGTATATATATATCTATATATACCATGTTCAATGGCCCTGGGTAGATCAGATCAGCCGCCTATTGAAAAATGATAAGAATCATGGTATATATATTCATGGATGATACGAAAATACTTCATTAGATGAAGTATCCTGTTAGATTATTCATGGATGATACGAAAATACTTCATTAGATGAAGTATCCTGTTAGATCGTATGCACTCTGTAGTAAATTGTGTCTACTCATATTTGAAAATTTATCAACTTTGGACATAATTTTCACATTATGATCGCTGGGGTTTGAACCTTGGTTTCTTCTCTCAAATATTGTCCACTGGACCATTGAGCTAAGCCTGTGCAGACAAATTTTACAAATTACTAATATAATGACGCATTGTCATTAGTCTTTGAGGTTTAGCGGAGTTAGTTTGTTAAATGACTTAAAAGTCATGACTGGATATGACACAGTGGGGTTCAAATCCTACCGAAAATATGTATGAAAAATAAAAAAAAGTAACTTTAAATTGAACAGTTAAGTCAGGAGGTGGTTCACAATATCCTTTGTTGACTAGAGATACAAGTTCATCATTCAAAAAAGAACAATTCACTATATATTAATTAATAAAAGTATGTCATATCAATATTTTTTTGTAAGATACCAATATAGTATCATAAAAAATAAAAATGTTACCTACCAAATTTATCCAAACAATTAATTTGGTAACTACAAAAAGGCACCGACACAATACCGTAAAAATACTCTGTAAAACTTTTATATGTCAAATTTATCAAACAATTAACTTGGAACAACAAAATTCTGAATAAGTATCATTTAAGGTCACAAGTCACTCTTTATTTATAGCTCATCTTCAACTAGCAGTTGCATACTTTTCTTTAAAAAAAAAAAAAAAGAAAAGTTTAGAGATTCTAAAAGGAGAAAGTTCTTATTTATAATTACAATTCAACAAAGCTATTTTTTTGTAAGATACCAATATAGTATCATAAAAAATAAAAATGTTACCTACCAAATTTATCCAAACAATTAATTTGGTAACTATAAAAAGGTACCGACACAGTACCGTAAAAATACTCTGTAAAACTTTTATATGTCAAATTTATCAAACAATTAACTTAGAACAACAAAATTCTGAATAAGTATCATTTAAGGTCACAAATCACTCTTTATTTATAGCTCATCTTCAACTAGCAGTTGCATACTTTTCTTTAAAAAAAAAAGAAAAGAAAAGTTTAGAGATTATAAAAGGAGAAAGTTTTTATTTATAATTACAATTCAACAAAGCTATTTTTTAAAGGAAAAAAAGATAGCCCTAATTATTTGCATTTGATATTTTTTTGTATAGTTGATAATTCGGTTTGTTTTAATACAGTTCCTGCGAGAGAAGAATTTCAAGCAGACAATCCCACCAGTGAAGGTGGAAGATGGAGAAGAAATCACCCATGAAACGGCCACTGCTGCACTGAGAAGAGCAGTTCATTTCTTCTCAGCCTTGCAAGCCAGTGATGGTCACTGGCCTGCCGAAAATGCCGGTCCCCTGTTCTTTCTTCCACCTCTGGTCAGTTACCTTGCTCCCTAAGTGTTTGACGAAATGCGTAATCTCATCATTCACCCTTTTCTTGAAAACAAACTTTCAGGTTATGTGCGTGTACATCACCGGTCACCTTAATACTGTTTTCCCGGCAGAACACCGCAGAGAAATTCTTCGATACATATACTGTCACCAGGTATATAAACTTTGGTCTGGAAACAATAATAGTTTGTCTAGAGTTTTGGTTTCCTAATAAATGGCATTTTGCGGGATTCAGAATGAAGATGGTGGGTGGGGATTTCACATAGAAGGTCACAGCACTATGTTCTGTACTGCACTGAGCTACATCTGTATGCGTATTCTTGGAGAACGGCCGGATGGGGGTGAGAACAATGCCTGTGCTAGAGCAAGGAAATGGATTCTTGATCATGGTACTGTTAAAGCCATTCCTTCCTGGGGAAAGACTTGGCTCTCGGTATGACTGTATTAAGGATTTTGAAACTTCTTAATTACTCATGACTACATTTATGCCAAGCTCTTGCTGATAAATCTTTGTTTTATCTATCTTCAGATTCTCGGAGTATTTGACTGGTCAGGGAGTAACCCAATGCCTCCTGAATTTTGGCTCCTTCCTTCTTTTCTTCCTATGCATCCAGGTAGGTAGAAATTGTCATGCTGATGCTTAAAATGAAGACTCTTGATTATGGATAAGAAAAGGATATGATTTCTATAAGGTGTCTTGAGAAATGGCCTGACTTGATAGTTTTTAATTGCTTTAAATTCTGGTCCAAATAGTAAACTAGCTCAAGCTGATAACAATAATCTCTTTAATTGGACTTGGCATACAAAAAAGTTGAAATTACAATCTTCTAAGACTTAGAATCTGGAAGACATTGAATTTATAGGATCAGTCCTCAAGTCCAACTGTATTTTTTTTCAATGCAGCAAAAATGTGGTGTTACTGCCGAATGGTTTACATGCCCATGTCTTATCTCTATGGTAAGAGATTTGTAGGGCCAATTACACCTCTGATTTTACAATTGAGGGAAGAGCTTTATGATGAGCCATACGAGCAAATCAATTGGAGGAAAATATGCCATTTGTGTGCAAAGGTAAATTTATCAGAGGTGAAATCAATCATGTACATAATTTTTTATTTTTTTTTAACCTTTTTATAGAATTTCTAAAACACTTGTCTATACAGGAGGATCTCTACTATCCTCATCCCTTGATACAAGACTTAATCTGGGATAGTTGTTATGTACTCGCTGAGCCTTTACTGACTCGCTGGCCTTTCAACAAGTTGAGACAAAAAGCTCTCGAAGTTACCATGAAACACATACATTATGAAGATGAGAACAGTCGATATATCACAATTGGGTGTGTGGAAAAGGTAAAGCAAAATAGTACTTCTGGAATTGCATAGCATTATTCAATTTATATTTGATGGTGATGATTACAAGTGGGAGATTCCAACATGTGTTGTCCATGTAGGTTTTGTGTATGCTTGCTTGTTGGGCTGAGGATCCAAATGGTGACTATTTCAAAAAGCATCTTGCTAGGATCCCTGATTACCTATGGGTTGCTGAAGATGGAATGAAAATGCAGGTTGTTAGAAGTGCTATTGACTCAAGAAATTTCAATATGTGTGTGTGTGCGCCCATGTCTGTCTCTGTGTTTATCTCTTCCTCCCTTCGAACTTTGCTTTTTCAAGGTCATTCATAATATAAATCACTTAAATTGGCTTACTTTTATGATTGATATTGAACTTCAGAGCTTTGGCAGTCAGCAGTGGGATACTGGTTTTGCCATCCAAGCACTATTAGCTAGTGACATGACTGATGAAATAGAAGATACTCTTCAAAGAGGACATGATTTCATTAAAAAATCTCAGGTCTGAGACTCAGAAACCTAATAATTTGGCTTCTCCCATTAAAAACAGTTAATCAAAAAAAATTCCTATTGTAATTTTCATTTCAATTATCATGAACTAACATGCATAATTTTCTTACAGGTCAAGGATAATCCTTCTGGTGATTTCAAGGGCATGTATAGGCACATTTCTAAAGGATCATGGACATTTTCAGATCAAGATCATGGATGGCAAGTTTCTGATTGCACTGCTGAAGGATTAAAGGTATCTAATTCTACTATTATCATGATAATTCTCATCTATTATAAAACCGTTCTAATCTTCTCCTTTTGATTTTAGTGTTGCCTTATCTTCTCTACAATGCCTGCTGAAATTTTTGGTGAGCAATTGGAGCCTGAGCGATTATATGATGCGGTTAATGTATTGCTTTCCTTACAGGTAGGGACCAAGTTGTGAATTTATCAGTATTAAATTGCATCCCTAGTTTCTCTTATGTTCAAACATAGGAAGTACTCTTTAAAATAATTATTAGTACCTAGAAACACAAATATGTTGCAACTCGGCATACTGCCAAAAGAAAGTCCAACTTGATTGTTTAAATGATAAAATCAAATAGTAAATCAATTACATTTTCACGTGTTTGGTTACTAATATCCTCCATTTTATAAACAATATGGCAGAGCAAAAACGGTGGTTTAGCCGCATGGGAGCCTGCTGGAGCCTCAGACTGGTTGGAGGTAATCTTTCCTACAAAACTAAGGGATAATCAGTTTGCTGTGAGATAATGATAATAACTTGGTACAAGCTTTGAGATATATTTATTATCTGCTACAAACAGAGAAGTTTACTTTTAATTCTTTTGGTTTATTTACACAGCTACTCAATCCAACAGAATTCTTCGCTGACATTGTTATTGAGCATGAGTAAGATTTATCTCTCTAATTACACTACTAATGAGTGTTGTTTTCTCCTATTAAGAGTGTACACAAATCAATTAAAATGCTTTTGAAACAAACTGAAATGTTCATCTAGGTATGTTGAGTGCACTGGTTCATCAATTCAAGCCCTTATCCTTTTCAAAAAATTATACCCTGGACACCGAACAAAGGAGATAGACAATTTCATCACCAATGCTGCGAAATACCTTGAAAATGATCAAAAGCCTGATGGTTCATGGTATATTAATTTACTAAAGCTCTGGAGCTGCAAATAATATTTGTACCATATTAGTTTTCATTTTGTATGACATGATAAATTCTGTCAACTTAGGTATGGAAATTGGGGTGTATGCTTCACATATGGCTCATGGTTTGCCCTTGGAGGCCTAGCAGCAGCAGGCAAAACATATAACAATTGTGCAGCTGTTCGTAAAGGTGTTGATTTTCTGCTAAGAACACAGAGGGATGATGGTGGTTGGGGAGAAAGCTATCGTTCTTGTCCCGACAAGGTAATACTTGAATTCTGCCTATCATTTCCTAATGCCTAGATCAACGCCCTCTAGTCACAAAAGTAATAAGAGAAAAATATGCATTGGAAAAAAGATAATAATTATTTAGTTACGGAAGCAGGTGTATCGACAGCTTGAAGGAAACCGCTCAAATTTGGTGCAAACTGCTTGGGCTATGATGGGGCTGATTCATTCTGGCCAGGTAAATTTCTTCTTCTAAACACTAATTTGGTAAAATTCTTTTAACAAAAATGATTTAAAAAATTGCATCTACAAACATTTGATTGTGGGACAGGCGGATAGAGATCCAAGGCCACTCCACCGAGCAGCAAAGCTTTTAATAAACTCTCAGATGGAAAATGGCGACTTTCCTCAGCAGGTAACCTATGAAATCAACAGTTAACCTGCAATAGCACAATGTAGCATCAAGAAAGGTTAGGTTGTGCTACCTTGCTACAATCTGAATGCATACTCTTCATTTTTGTTTCAGGAAATTACTGGAGTTTTCATGAAGAACTGCATGTTGCACTATGCGGCATATAGAAATATCTATCCTTTGTGGGGTTTGGCAGAGTACAGAAAGAGGGTGCCTTTACCATCATAAACCATTTTTCAATTCAATTCCACCTCTTTCAACATCATCAGATAAGGAATCTGCAGTGTTGTTTGTTGTATAACCAGTCATGTTCTTTACCTTATACCATATACTCCGTATCTATTATGTTGTTTGTAATATATAAGTTGTCTAAGAAAAAATAGAGGGCCATAGCTTAGCTACCAATGCAAGTTTGTATTCAAATATGTGAATAAAAGGTAATCCATTTACTCTTTCATTTCTGATTATTTATTTATTTATTTATTTATTTATTTATTTATTTATTTTTTTGGGTGGGTGTAGCTGTCCACATTACTACTTTCAAGTATCAACCTTCAGTGTACTACGCAATATTGAATTCTTACTTTTTCCGTATGATTTACAAATAATTATACAAGAGTGAGTTCATCATGTGTACACTCTCGAATAATAAGTATTATTGGTTCCTTCGTCACCCAATAAATTAGAATTCTTAACAAAATGTAACGCCAAGTCGAAATAATTTTGAGCTCTCCAACATTAATCTTAGTTCTATATGCACCCATATAGGGATAATAATTCAACTCGACCATTATGGGAAAAGTTGAACCCCGCCCCAACGACAGCATGAATAGGGAATTTTTTCGAGAAATGAGGACGGAGATAAGGAGAGCTTTCCCATACTCACCAGGGACAGGGATGGCACTATGCGTCCCCAACCCCAGAATGCCATCCCCAGACCCGATTCTCTGAATTATATATATATATATATATATATATATATATATATATATATATATATATATATATATATATATATATAGTGTTAACAACATGCACCAACAGTGTAAGAAAAACACACCACAATGAAATGCAAAAAAAAATCAAAAAATACACAATAGACCCAAAAATACACCATATAACTCAACACCCCCAAAACTGTATTTCCGAATACTGTATGATCTTTTTAATCACACCTAATGGTGTATTTTTGATGATGCATACCTAATTTGTGTGTGTTTTTGTGGTGTATATTCCTAACGTTGATGGTGTATATTTGATGAACTATTGGTGACGCCGCACCCCCGCACCGTAAGACACCGCTGCACTTGAACCTTCCTCTCTCTCTCTCTCTCTCTCTCTCTCTCTCTCTATATATATATATATATATATATATATATATATATATATATATATATATATATATATGAAAATTTTCAAATGCGGCGGGGTTTTCCCGTGCGGCGGAATTTCAGAATACACCAACAGTGTAAGAAAAACACACCACAATGAAATGCAATAAAACATTAGAAAATACACAACAGACCCAAAAAAATACACCATATAACTGACCACCCCCAATGGTGTATTTCCGAATAATATATGGTGTTTTTACTCACACCTAATGGTGTGTTTTTGGTGATGCGTACCTAATTTGTCTCTATTTTTTGTGGTGTATTTTCCCAACGTTAATGGTGTATATTAGTTGAACTATTGGTAATGCCGCACTGCCGCACCGTAAGACACCGCCGCACCTGAACTCGCCTATGTATATATATATATATATATATATATATATATATATATATATATAGAGAGAGAGAGAGAGAGAGAGAGAGAGAGAGAGAGAAAGAGAGGAGGGGGGGGGGGGGGGGGGGGGGGGGAGGCGAGAGGGTTCCTATGAGAACACCTATTTAGGAGAGATTGTGAGATCAAATCTTGTGCATCAATCTAATAAATTTTTATGGTCTAGATCAATGTTCGCACACACTTAATCGCGTTCGCACACATTTAATGGCATTCGCACACACTCAATCTAGATCAATCTAGACCATTAAATTTATTAGATTGATGCACAAGATTTGATCTCACAATAACACCTAGACCAATCTAGATCAATCGCATTTGCACACACTTAATCGCTTTCGCACACATTTAATCGCGTTCGCACACACTTAATCTAGATCAGTAAAATTAATTAGATTGATGCACAAGATTTGATCACAAAATCTCTCCTAAACAGGTTGTAACAACCCAAAATTTCATTTTATAAATTCGGTATTAAGAAATCCCAAAATAGCCATTTTCACTCCATTAAAAATTTTTGCGATCAATTGGTGTATGAATAAAATATTTTTTTCACATTTTAAATTAATCCAACACCATAAATGGATTCTATTCGAAAATTCCTAAGTTTTCGGGTACTTCGCGTAACAAGATTTAAATCGAGAAATTTATCTGAGTGAGACCAGGAGAATTAAAAAAGATTTTAAACAAGTGTTCATCCAAATAGCTTTTTGAGAAAATTCATTTCCAACCCCAAAGTATTTAAAGTTAGCATTTCTAGCCTTGGTCCATGATACAAGGTGAACCATTACATTCCAAAAGACTTTACTGAGAAACACATTCTATGCAAGCTTTTACCATTTTGCCCTCAACCAATCATTGACCTTCTACCTAGGGTTTTGGACCCTATATAAACTCCACTATTCCATTTTGATTCCCTGATATCTTTCTTTGCCTCTCCACACCTTTTGTCTACCAAGAGAAAGGGAGAAAACAACATCACAGTAAGCTCATCTCCTTCTTCAACCCTAGCCTTCATTTCTCTTTTAGTTTCTTTTAATCTTTGAGGTTCTAGGCTAAGGTTGTATGGTGTGTTTGGGAAGTATAGGTAGTGAAGGAGGCACTAGCTAGATAGAGAGGAAGAAGAGATCCAAGCTAGAAGAAGAACTACAAGAGGTATAACCCCATGGATTCCTCTTTGAATTTTGGCTCTGTGAAGCCTTTATATTGAGTAGAAATGAGTAGAAACTATGAGATTTTGTTGTGTTTATGCTTAGAAATGATCTAGTATTTGTTTGTGAGTTGTTGAGATTGTTTTGGACTTGTTTGATTGAGTTTTGCAGATGAGAAAACTTTCTGGTGCACATTTACGGCCCTAGCCGCGGCCATCAGGAGGGCCGCCGGCTAGACCCGTAGTTTCACGGGACTAGGACACGGCCCTAGAGGAGGGCCGCTGCCTAGTCCCGGTGGAGTAGCGGGGTACATGGGGCGGACCATGAGGAGTCTCGCCCCAGGTCCTTGACTTTGATTCTGAGAAGAATCTGTGCAGTGGCCGGGCCCTTGTGGCTCAGCTATGTGTTGTTTCGGACCGAGTGTTACGGGCCCTTATGGCTCGGCTCTTCAAGATCGTCTCGACACACGTTTTGGCTTTGATTTCGTTGAATTTCGATTAAAAACGAGTATGTTATGAAGGAATTTGTGAAGAATTGTTACACAGATTATATATTTGCTAAGTTACTGTGTACGAAGAATTATTTGACTATGTGACCTGATGTTGTTTTTATTGAGTAAAGAAGCATGATCATTTGAGAATATGATTTATTTTGAAAGCATGACTAGATTGAGATATGTGATCAATGAGAAATGAAACATATTTTGTTGATAGAATGTATAGAATTTGCTATGTTGCAAACTGAGCATGACATTATATTCTTAAGTGTTCTATGTTATTTTATACATGTTTTAGAAACATGTTATAGAGCATTTTAACATTTCACATGTGTCATATTTCAAAAATGTATAAGGGGCCAACGTGAGCCCAAGAATACTTTCAAAAACCATAAGCATGTGGTATATCATTCTTTGATGCATTGAGAAGTAGTAGAGTTGTTGCATGCATGAGATTGATGCATGAGAGATATATCTATATATTACCTATATTGGTGAGGTTTTGGAGGATACCGTTTGGACTATGTCCTCTTGGGAGATATTTATGGACATTGCGGTCCCAGTATATGTAACGCGGCGTATTCCCACGTTACGAGGTTGGAAACTTCCCGCCAGGCTTGGAATTCTGGTTAGGGGGTGTGCACACTAATAGTTCGATACCTGATTCCACAGAGTTTGAGCCACGAGATTGGTTCCGTAGACGGTAGGAGATATTGGGTCGGATTTATGCCGTTCCCGATGCGGTAATTCATGCTTCGGTGAAACCCTAAGCCGTCTACGAGTATAGAGAAAGAAAGAGAGTCAAAAGAGACTCAAGAGAAAGAAAGAGAGTAAAGAGTGACTCAAGAAAGTAAGAAAGAGACCTCCACAGAAAGTACTCTATTTTATAAAGAGTGTATGAGTATATATATATATATATATATATATATATATATATATATATATATATATATATATATATATATATATATATATATATTATTGCATGAGATTGCATAAGAGTATGAGTATATTGTTGCACGAGATTGCATATGAGTATGTTTATAGTATTGCACGAGATTGCATATTAGTATGAGTATATTATTGCACGAGATTGTATAAGAGTATGTGTATATTGTTGCACGAGATTGCATATGAGTATGAGTATATTGTATTGCACGAGATTGCATAAGAGTATGAGTATATTGTTGACCTTCCTGTCCAAATTTTTCTTGAATTCTTCTCGCAATAAACTTGAGATCCCTGTATTGTTTGTTCTAAAAAACAAACAACTTTATTCAAAAATTAAATGCTCAAAGATAATAATGTGATGTAAATAAAACCTTGGGTTGCCTCCCAAGTAGCGCTTCTTTTAACGTCTCAGCCCTACGTACCCTGTCTTTCAACCTATATTGGTTGCCTGCACACCACTTTCATTCCTTCTCCAGACGTATTTTCCGAATCTACCTGCATAGTCGGTCTTGCCTTTTGATTTCTTCTTAGATTTTGCCATTTTCTTTCGTTTACCTTTTTTGATGTCCCTGCCTGTAACACCCCTAATTTTTAAAACATTTAAAGCTTAAGCAATAAGATGAAACTATCATTAATACCCAACAGAGCTGAAGCTAACAACATGAGTATCGGGTGCTATGCCACATCTAAGTTTGAGAACCTAGATGCACATGTCATAACTAACTAAAATAGCAGCATCCACAATTGATTTTCAAATACAATCAAGGTGCACATGTCATCTAAACTAAGGCTAGAACTAACGAAAGCTAAGTCCACGAATCCATCTAGCGCGCTCCGAAGCTACTGGTCAGTACCTGAAAAACATATGGTGTAACAACCGTCAACGAATAATGATAAGTAACCCACTCTCACGCGTTGAGTACGATATATGTAGATATAAGAAAACCATTTTGAGACTCGGGAATACCTATATAGCCCTAGACAACTCTAGCTTTAAAACCAAGATCAAGACTCGAGACATACCAACAGACCCGACACTATAAAACGCATAAAGGTACTAGCATGCATCCTTATACCAC